TGTCTTCTACTCTTCTCTTCCTTTGTCTTAAATTACATTCTCTTTCGATTTTTTTTCTCTATATAACTATTTCCTAACTCTAAATATGTTTCAAATTAATCCGAATGAATAAGAAATCTTATCTTATTGTATATTCTTGATAGGAAAACCTGATCAACGATGTTTTCTATATGTTATCATTATGAACAGTTTATCTTTTTGATTCAAATCAAAGCTTGTGAATGTCGGATATATGTAGAAACAGTTCTTTTTTTTTGATCGATTTCCAGACAAAAATTGATGAATAATTGAAATATGCGAAGACACTCATCGAAATCTTACGTCCGATAACATTGCACGTCAAAAGTTTTGTCCCAGTTTTTTATTTTTTTAGTCGTGCACTAAAACTGTACAAGATTAATTTAATTCTATTATGTGCTTGGATAGCAGAGATCGAGTACCATATGTAAACATGTGTTCGATTCGGAAAATTTTTGAATATGAAATATAATAAGAAAAACAAAATTCAGTATTAAGAAAAAAATGATACAAAAAACTACAAAATGATAATTAAAATGTTTGGAAGATTTTTCGTTGTGCAAGAGAGCTCTCCTTATACAACTTTCGTGGAGCTTTCTATGACGGATCTCTTGAAAAAAATCAAGATGCTATCGTTTTCGTAAGTCGAGATATATGCAAAATATAAAAATCTTCCAAACATTTAAAATATTTTAAATATAGTGGAAAGTAGTACTATGATGCATTTTTTTTCATTTTGAGTAAGGAAGAAACTATCTGAAGTCAATAGGATTTTTTCCTGCATACTTTGTTTTTTTCGTGAGAAACTAACCATGGAAGTATCTCATAACAAAGATATTATTTTGTAGTTGTTTATGTCATTTTTTCCTCAGTAATGAAGTTTGTTTTTCTTATTGTATTTCATATTCAAGAATTTTTCAGATCAAACAGATGTTTATAATATAGTATTCAATCTCTGCTATCAAACCATATAATAAGATTCAATTAATCTTATGCAATTTTAATAAACGACTAAAAACAAAAAAGTGGGTTTAAACTTTTGACTGGTACTGTAGTATAAAATCTATTGAACATCTCTAAGGTAAAATTTCATAGGATTAATATTTTAATTGATGTTGGAAACAAATTGTTTTTCTGTAAAAAAAATTCAATAGTCTTTTTTTAATAATTATACTGAATCTAATGAATTGTTAAAACATATATGTTTTTATTATATCTACTATATTTCTTTGTAGGTAATTATAGAAAAGGCGAACGTGTAGCTGGTTGTGTTCATGGTGGTCTCGGTCATGAATTTGGTATCCGTGGAGCTTTTTCCGAATATGTTACACAAGAAGCATTACTTGTTTTTCGTTATCCTTCGACAATGTCACCTGAAGTCGTTGTTACACTTCCACTTGCCAGTATCACAGCAGCTCTTGGTATATTTCACGAAATGGGTTTACCTTTACCGCCTGCAAAGATTGAAGCCAATTTTCTCGTGTGGTCTGGCAGCACAAGTGTCGGACAGTGTGCTATTCAATTAGCTAAATCAATTGGTTGTTTCTTTCTCACTACAGCATCACCCGCTCGTCATGATTATTTGAAAGGACTTGGTGCTGATGTTTGTTTTGACTACAAGGATCCATATGTTGTGCCGAAAATAAAACAAGCAGCCAAAGATAATTTAGCTTACGCTTTTGATTGTATATCAGAAATGGAAGCAACTAGACAAGTCTGTGCTGCACTCACAGACAGTAATTCACAATTATGCACTGTTCTACCTTTTATAACAAGTGAAATACCAGCTCATGTCAAAGAACACAGAGTTTTAATGTATACGATATTTGGAAATGAAAGAAATCTCTTTGGTCAACTTTATAAAGCCAAACCAGAAGATAAAGAATTTGCTGAAAAATTTTACAAATTGATTTCAAATTTTCTGTTACCTGAAGGACTTTTGAAACCGAATAGAGTGACGAAGATATCAGGCGGATTGAATGGAGTCGAACAAGGATTTAAACGAATGATGCAAAATAAGGTGGCAGCCGAAAAATTGGTCTATACATTAGCTGAAACTACTGGCTGGAATAACTGTCACTGGATTTGCTGCCGTAACATATGTTCATAAGACAAATCTTACTAATATCTAAAGTTAACAGAAACTAACTATCGATCATTGTACATTGAATTAAATAAATGTCTCATAAGCATCTACTGATGTAACGAATAAGAAGGCATGTTCAAAAAAAAATAACAATAAATTCCTTTCAATATGAATTAATAATATCTTTTCTTAAAAATATACTCTCCTAGAATGCATGGTGTTTCAAACGATTTTATACTTATAACTTATATATAGAGTGTTAGGAAAGTGACTTTCTATTTTAAATTCTTTATTACTTTCAAACAGTAAAAGATGTTGTAACGATCTTTTTTTACTGCTTTAAAGCATATCTCGTAACAATATCTTGTAGATAAAAAAAAGTCGATTGAATGTGGGTTTGATTCTAATCTTGAACAATACCGACACCCGAACTTTCATAATTCAAAGTAAAATATTTATTTAAGCTACCTGAAATAAATCTAAATGCTGATTTAATTTTCCCACTATGTCCAATATGTTAACAAAAACCAAAGCATGTTTAATGTCAAGTATAACAAAAAAAACTTGCTGAAAATCGTCATATTGATAAAACAGTAAAAGGTGCTGGGGACTGGACTGATGATGAATCATACTTTCTTTATCTTAGGAAATAGCTGATGAGGAAGAAGGTGTATGTGAATATTTTGTGGAAACAACAAAAGATCGATGAGTTCCACAGGTTTTTTAAATTACTAATTAATCATGTATTAAGTGTTTCCTTTCAATCAGCAATGTGTTTCATTACATTACAATGTGGAAATTGATTTTCTTGATGAATATAAACAAATATTTATTGAAATATATTTACGTTCACGCACAGATTTTAAAACACTTCGATTCTTAGCATCATGGGGCGGGGGAGGGTAGGGTGAACGCTCAAGTTTTTAGGAGAAGCAATAAACTCTAGATCGAGGTCGTGCTTTCTTTAAGTGATAGTACAAATCTCAGCAATACAAGCTATTTTTCGAAGTTAATTTCTCTAAAACAGCATTGAAAGCAAGGGGGGAAACGCTGATTTAAATCAGCTGAAAACCAATAAAAATCACTAAAATCAGCGAAAATGATTGAGAATTACAACAAGTGCTCAATTAATTCTGAGCGGCTAGCGGCGATTTTGAATGATTTTAGTGATTTTAAATGATTTCAGTGATTTTCAGTGATTTCCAATGATTTTGGTCAGATTTAAAACACCTTATTCTCCTATTAAATCACTGAAAATCACAAATCGCCTTTCCCCCCTTGATTGAAAGCCTATTTATTAATTGATTCGACAGTCTGAGAACCCTTTGGCGCTTGTTTTTTTACATATGAAAACTTTTTTTGAAGAGTTCAGAATAAGTTTTATTCCTGTATATGATGGGTAAAAATAGTATTCCAGGGAAGAGATGGGGTGGGGGGGGGATACACTATAATTTCAAATAGCATGCATACGTAACTACAATTGTATACGAAAAGAAAGCGCGTCAAACATGAGGTTTATTGGTACTAAATGGTACAGGTTATAAAAACTTTTCAATGTCGAACTTCAGACATTTTCAAAAATTTATACTTTTTTGGCATAAAAAAGTAAGATGTCATTAATTCTAAAATGAAGTAAGTTTTTTTCTTGGATATTTTTCCATGATCCGATAGAGCTTGTCAAGTTCTACAAAACTCTATATAGAAAAAATCCTGTAAGCCATCTTTTTGAAATAAAAGATTCAAAAAACTACGTGGAAAACCAGAAAAAAAGTTATAAAACCTTTCTTTTTATATGAAAGAAAAACACTTGGTTTTTAAATAAAATTGTCTATTTTCATTATTTTTTACTATAGCAGACGTTTCAAAATATACTCATTAGATGGAATTTTTGGTGCGGGTGTGGATATGGATGGATGTCTATAACCATGACTGTATTATCTTCAGCAAGATTCACACCCATATTAAGTAGAAATAGAAACATGAGTTCTTATAAGTAGGTATATAGATACTTGGCATAAACCCATTTACGTTTAATAATAACTGAATAAATGATACTTTTTTATTGGTTACATTATGATGTTACTTACTTTAAATATATCATTGTTTTCGCTTATGTTATTAATTTTCATAATGTTATCACATTAACTTATTATTAGACTAAATATATTATTACATTGAATGTATATTGATGATAATCTTAATTCAATAATAAGAGTTTAGAAGTTTATGTTTATGATGTACATGTTCCTGCTGTTTTTGATTATGATGTTCATCTTTCTTGATTGACAATTATTTTCTGTTTGTGTTTTCTAACATCTAGAGTTCTGTTAAACTTGTTAATAATGATCGTCTATGATCAAAAATTTTCACAGAACAAAATGAAAATAAAATTTACCATTATAGATTTCTACATTTACTTGATTGAGTAGATATTAAGCTCTGCGAGTTTTATAGAAAACTGGAGACTTCATATCTCACAATCAATTAAGGATAGAGGTCTGACACTTTTATTGTAGGTAGGCCTCTATCAGCTCTATCCATACTAAAAATTTCAGACCTCTAGCATTACTTTCTTACAATTCACTATTATTTCTATTTGTTCAATATTATGAAAATCAGACTTTTTTTTGTATAAATCTAAAACATCTGAGCTAATAAGTTAGTGGATTGCCTTTGTAAAAATATATATATAGTTTAACACACGCTCTATCCATATAAATAAAAGCAAAGATCTCACCATGAAATATAGCGGAGAACGAGCTAATAGAAAATTATAGTTTTTTTTGTCCAAGGGTGATTTATTTGTTATGGTTAGATAAAGATGCACACAAACATACATATTTTTATCATAATATTAATATGTATTTATATCATAAAAAATAAATTCATAGTTGAATCAAAGTCGAATAAATTCAGCTATATCAGTACCCTTATTAATGGCCACATACAAATTAAGGTTTGAATCTAATGCAACAGCTGTTGGTTTATTAAGTGCAGGCGTTGTACTGCTACCTCCAACGACCACAATGCCAACTGTTGAATTGGCGCAATACATCACTATTCGATTGTTTTCTGAATCAACAACATACAAATTACCGTATGGATCCAAAGTCATACCTTTTGGGGTTTTCAAAGTACTTGTACTATCATTAACTTGATTAAGAGTTGCTGTTGGATTATTATTACCAAATGTCCATAAATATACATTATCTTTGTCTGTATTACTTGTGTAAGCTTGATTTGTTGAAGTAGGCGAAAGTAAGATGTCGTAGGACTTATCGATGAGAGTATCACTAACTAAAACAGTACCATTAGTTGCATTAGCTGCCCATTTTATAATTCGGTTATTATGTATATCAGCAATATAAATATTTAAACTGTCGTCAACGTCAATCGCTGCTAAATGATCTAAGTCTGTTAATGCACCTGATTTATTTCCGGTTCCAGCAACACTTGTGCCAACATTAGAATTTGGAGCAAAACGTTGCACACGATGATTATTATGATCAGCTACATACATATTTCCATACTTGTCAAAAGTAACATCACCAGGACTGTCAAATAAATTTGAAGTTGAACCTGAAGTACCACTATTACTGCCAGCTATTGTCGTGGCATTTTCGCAATGACTCCATTCTTGAATATGATTCTCACCGGAATCAGCAATATACAGAGTGTCATTCGCATCAATATATAAGGCAGCCGCTTGTTTGAATTGATCAACAATAGTTGAACCTGTTTTATTCCAATGAAGATCGTTACCTAAAATAATTAATAATATTGTAAACATATAATTACTTATGGTTAAATGGCTGACAAGAACTAGGAGTTGTTGAAGTCGCAGCTTCTAAACAGAAAGAAACAAAGAGCAACCTTAGTCAGTAATTAAACTCGAAAACACACTTGGATTGCAAATATATACGGTTGTAGTCGTTGTGCTTGCTTTAATAAACAAAAACATGAACGTTTCATCATTTATCGTGTAAGATAAATAGCATTTATTCTCGTTACTTGACGTCGATGTAGTCGTCGTTGAGCTTGTTGAGGTGCTTGTGCTTGAGGTTGTTGAGGTGCTTGTGCTTGAGGCTGTTGAGGTGCTTGTGCTTGAGGTTGTTGAGGTGCTTGTGCTTGAGGTTGTTGAGGTGGTCGTACTTGAGCTTGTCGATGTTGTTGCTTAAATAGATTAAAAATCTGATTAAGATACAATTTCATGTGGCTAATTCCGTGCAGTTTCTTTCAGAAAAAAGATACAAATATCTGTAAATCGATCCAAAAGAACTTCATCTTGAAACGCTTGAAGAATTATAGTTATGGTAAAAAAATAGCTAGATATAAAGAATGCTTCTTTCGGAGGATGTAAGGTTCACTAGTTAACAGGAAAATTGTCTAAATTTCTCAAAAACTAAAAAAAATTACGAAAATTTCGTAAATTTTGGCATCACAGCCATTTCAACATACTATGCATGAAAATCAATTTCAATTACACATTTTTGTTCATCTTAAGCTGATACATTTGCTTATATATTCTTTATAATTTTTCATTGATCTAGTAAAAGTTGTTCCTAAACTATATTGATAATTCACGGAAAATACTATTATCGTAGACTAGTTGTATAAGCGAATACTTAAGACATATTTCATACTTAAACGACATAGCAGATTTTGTACAGCAGCTTCAGTTCTATTTTAACTCGGAATGACTTAGATACAGTCGTAGAATTTACTATCACTAATCATCTATGAGTTCGACATAACCATCTAGAAGCTATTTTTTTATATTTTTGTGAAACACGATCTGAAAGGAGTGTTGAAGTGTTTAGGGGGAGAAATTTGGACCCCCCCCCCTCGCCCCCAACAG